ATCTGGATCCACCTCCCAGAACTTCTTGTTCAAGTTGTTCATAATAGCCTAACACACAGACATAAACACAACAATAGTAAATATACAGAAAAACTGCATATTTGTTCCATAGTTAGCTGTGACTGACCTGTACACCCGCATAGGCATTATTGACCAATAAGTCAAGTCTGCCATTTTGCTCACGTTGAACACGTTCAAACAGCTCCTTGATTTCGTCCTCTTTAGATGAGTCACAGATCACTGGAAGACACCGGCCACCTCTCTCTGTCACCTGTTATCATGAAAATAAAAGAAGCATGAAATCAATATCACCTTCTCTAAGCTGAGGGCTATTATTGATACAATCAGGAGATAGTTTCCACACCTCAGCTGCTGTCTGCTTCAGAGTTTTCTCCTGTCGACCAGTGATGTACACTGTAGCGCCAGCCTCAGATAACTGTAGGGCAATACCTCTTCCAATTCCTCTGGAAGCACCAGTCACCACACAGATCCATCCTGATAGTGCCATCTGACAAACACACGCAAACATAAATTGATGCCAGTAATAACAATGTCCGAGCTTTAGAATTAGATAATTGAACTGGTTCACATAATCAGTATAAACGGTTTGGTTAAAATCGGCCAAAGTGGTTCTCAAGTCAACAGCTCACTGACTCACTGAAAGAAAAAAAAAACAGGCCAAATATGAGTCCCGTCCCAAATGGGGTATGCTACTATGGTTTTATATATATATATATATATATATATATATATATATATATATATATATAATTTATTTATTCATATGATAGCATTTTCTTAAAACATGAAAAACGCGATGACGTAATTACGTAACAGTGCAAATAACCACTGAATCATTTTGTAATCGGTTCTTTAAAACTGTTCCTAAAGAACAGATTCGTGGAAATGACTCCCTAGTCAGTAACAGTCAAACAAGTGAGCAAAAAAAGCCTGCCTGTCACCGTGGTTACAGTTATCCATTGCAACCTTCTTCACAATGACATTTAATTGGTCAGGAGTAAGTAGAGGCGGACAAAGTACACAACTCCATTACTTGAGTGAAATTACAGATACTGCTGGTCAAATATTACTCCATTACAAGTAAAAGTTGTAAAGACAGATTTTTACTTAAGTAAAAGTACAGAAGTACTTGCTTTTAAAAGTACTTAAGTACCAAAAGTAAATTTCCTTTTTTATGTCAATGCACTGTTTTATTATTGTTGTATGTAATACTTGCAATACTTCTGAAGCAACTTACAATACATTACACCTACTGAATAGACTGACTAGCTTGTAGTATCTTTGGAATAAAGAGCTTTTAGATTGTTAAAAAACTATGGGGAAAAAACAAAACCAAAAAAAATAATTATTATTTAACACCCCTACACCCCCACAAAAGCAGGATGGTAGAGCAAGACCTATTTGACATCAAAAAACATTTTTTTTTAAATGCTGTCTAATCGCTCTCGCTGTACTTTGATGTTACACACAGAACGGTCTGTGCAGTTCTGCTTCAGTCAAACACCTTTTTTTAAAAAAAATGTTATTAGGAGACGCACAACAGTTCTTCTGTGGGTTTATAGGTAATATTTTCACGTACACAATTTAGCTAAATCAGACAATATTGTGTCTAATATAAACCACAATATTAACTTCTTATTATTGAATTGTTGTAAATAAATATCACATTTGGAACTGGTCAGTGCTCAAAAAATGCTGGGAAATCACTTCATGTAGCCCCAAGAGTGATTACTGATAAGCTGTCTGAAAACAAAAGTCACGTTTTAAAGAAGAAGAAAAAAATCACCCACTGACTTTCAAAGCTGCCACATAGTAACGACTTTCTACTTCGAGGACCTTGATAGAAATGTAGTGGAGTGAAAAGTACAATATTCGTCTTTCAAATATAGTGAAGTTAAAGTCATAAGTTTCCAGAAAAAATAATACTCAAGTAAAGTACAGATACTCAAAAAGTGTACTTCAGTAACTTGTGCCTCTCGTGTTAAGCATTCGGCTCGTTTTGTATTTGATTAATGTGATGGATAGAAGATATTTCTGCCGTGCCGTATGATATTACAATGAAAAACCTACTTGTGCCCGTCATATTTACGTTGTATTTAGGCTATAACGCAACACGTACCTGTTCGACTGCGCGGTTAACCCTCCGATGAATGGTAATAGGCTCTAAGGAACTCTTGCCTAGTCTTGAAAAGTGTGGTGAAATAAACTGGCCAATGTATAACGTGCAGATAAGACAGTCATGTTTATGGCCCTTCTTCCCACTCCCGTAATACGTCTAATATAAAGCCCATGTGTTTTGCGAACGTAAACGATGCTTTTAAAACATTTAAAACACATGAAATCAGCAACCCAATGAACATGAGTAGCCTATGCTAATGCAGCCCATTTCATATCACACAGAAATCCATTACCTTGTTAAAATATTTTGGTTTACATCAAGGTTAGGTTTCTGCCAACTATGTTGCTGTTTATTAGACTAAACTGTTCCCATGAGTGAGGACCTGCAGTGTTTATACAGATTATTCAAGCAATAACCATAGCCACACAACATGATTCCACTATATGTATAGGCATTTCTCATTGGTCTTTTTCTTTTCAGGTACTTATTACATTTTTGAGAGGCAAAGTGAGAGGAGAGCTGTGTCTGAAATCACATAAAGCAAGAGTAGGTACTACTTTTGACAAAGAACTTAGGCCTACTTCGCAACCATTGAATGTGACAGTAGTCGTACTCGTACAGTACTTTTCGTCTACTGCTTTTCAAATACTATGTATTCAGACATACTACTCTTCTGGCATACTGCTTTTTGCATACTGCAGGGGCTCTCTGCAACTTTCCTGCAGAGTTTAATACAAACCTCGATCAAACTCACACAGTAATCCTGAAGACCTTGATTAGCTTGTTCAGCTATGTTTGATTAGAGTTGGAGCTAAATTCTGCAGGAAAGTGGGCCTCGAGGGCCAGAGTTGAGAACCCCTGGCATACTGTGTAGTAGAGAAGATGCAGCGGGGGACCAGGATGTGAACACAGCAAAAACCCAGGTCTCCTGAACAGTGCAATATATCTGATAATAACAATGGTCATTTCATTGCATTAAATTGACAACATAGCCCTACAGCAGCAGCACTCCCCCAATAGTGGAAATCTCTGAATTGTTTAGTCACTACATTTACCTAGCAGAGCATGGATTTATGATTGTGGGGCCTTGGCCACAATAATACATTGTGTACTTTGCCATTCATCAATCCAGATAACCTCTGTGCTAAATCTACTTTGATGCCTCTTTGCAGTCACCACTGCTTGCATTAAACCATTATTAGAGAATTAAAAACCAAAGTCCACAACATGCCACCATACGCAAGGCCACTGGTCCTTTCAGTTTTAATAGTTTGTAGCATCACATATACAGTAGTCTCCCAGTAACACATTCTTGCTCTTTTTAAGGTGCACAGTTCACATGGTTAGATATTAAGCTAATCGATGCACTGTGTTTCCCTAATAAAGATAAAGCTTTAATAAAAATGTAGAGGTTTAATTTCAGTAATAAAAACTAAGTGGCAAACCACATTCAAAGAAATGTTAATTGTTCAGTGACAAACATCATCATTTGAGCAAATGGACTGGCAGAGGCCTCACTGTCATATATCTTGTTACAGTATACACCACCAAATATTCAGTCTTTTAAAGTCGAGAAAGCCTTTGAATATATCTTCCTCAGTAGCTGATACTCAAAACATTAGTGACTTGCATGATCAGAATGGCAGTGTTTTTTTGATCCGTTTTGTTTTTTGCAACCCCAATAATACCAAATTGTGAATGCTCTGATGTCCCAAAATATTACAAGTTTTATTATAAATGTACAATTTTGTCATTGAGTAGTATTTATTTATATTTCAGTGTTATAGGCAGGTTCTATGTATTCTTCCATTTTTTTTAAACGTGTTTGGTTAACTGTTCAGGAATTTGCATTGCAAATAAAAGTGACCATGTCATTGACATTTGCCACACTCAAAACTACCAAGTTATCAACAAGCTCAGGGCTGGGCGTTCTTATACACATATTTTCCTCTTGTGCAATGTGAATTATTTTTGCAGTGAAGATCACCGTCAGTATTACGGAAATGAGATGACATTTTTTTTCTGATACAAATAGTAATACTGATAGTATACTGAAAATTATGATATTTTTGACGCCCAAACATTGTGGCTTATATATGCTGGGTGTCTTCTTATTTTTAATTTAATCGTTTTTAATTAGCAACAGTAGCAATAAATTAATGACAATTTTACAGCCAGCTAAATTACTTTATCTTGATGGCATGTTTAAAACAACGAAGTAAAAACGCATGTACATGATCAACATACATGACAGGATTACCAAAAATAGCCACAGTGTTTGCACCGAGGCGTGTTAGAATTTGCCCAGGCTCAGCATGGAACGAGGCACTCTGATGAATGAAGGAGTGAATACGGACAGCCAGGACACATAGGGCACTTGGGAAATTAGGAACTTCAGAGAGGTGTAGTCCATGACACTGCGACCTGAAACGACAAGGAGCACATAAAAAAACCCTTTGTAGAATTTCATTTTGGAACATCTACATGTAAGTATCATTGATCATAACAGGAAGCGCCATCACTCCTACAGAAACATCTGTCACCGTACCATCCACATCCTTGAGTCCATAGCGGCGAGCGAGGTCACAGGTCATCAACACTTGCCCGGTCATTGACATCAGATTTTTATCTGTCACCAAGAAGCAGAAAGTAACACATCAGCAAGGGCCTCCAGACAAATCAGAATAATTCATAAACCTTTTCCCCTTTAAATGAATAGTTTAAAAATTAAGTTATTTTTTTTATATATTTTGTTATCATTTAAAGTACTCACTTTTTCTGTTAAACACAAAAGAAGGTACTTGAAGAATGTTGGTAACCAATTGACTTCCGTAGTATTTTTTTTCCATAGTCATACCAGCAACTGTTTGATACAGCATTCTTCAAAATATTTTCTTTTGTATTCAACAGAAGAAAAAACTCTTACAGGTTTTGAACAACTCGTAAATGATGACAGAATTTTCATTTTTGGGTAAACTATTCCTTTAACTACTCATTCAGTCTTTTTAAAAAAATCCAACCTTTGGCCAGCTCAACTATGCATCGTCCACTAAACTCTGTCGTCTCACCCTTCCTGAATATTTCCTTGAACTGAGAAAGATAGATTGTAATCAGATATTTAGCTAAAGGTATTTATTTCATAATCACACCTATTCTTCATGAACTTACAAAGCAAAGATGATGAGACAAATAAAAATGGCTTACTTTTGGATCAAATCCTGGAGGAGCCTCATCGCAAGATATATACTGATTAATTAACTCAGTCTGAACGGCCCCTGGCCAGAGGCTTACAGAAACCACACCTTTCTTCTTCAGCTCTACTGCCATGTCCGCTGCCATTCTGTCACACTGAATAACCAAAAGAAAGTTTAAAGCATAAATGAACAATGAAGATGAATAAAGGAATAGTCTACGAACAAATCAAAAATTGAAAGTGGCATTCTGTGCAACTGAAATGAACCATATTTCAAATATGTTACACGGAAAATGACTTCAGATACAGAATCTGTAATGCTGTGTGCACGGACTCACTGCAGCTTTGCCGACCCCATAGGATACATTAAAGAGATAGCGCAGACCACCCATGGATGATATGAACACAATCAAGCCTTTGCCTTGCGCCACCATCATCCGTGTGGCATACACTGAGCAGAAATAGTGACCTCTGTGAAAACAGTGACCATGATCTCTGAAAATTAATTGAATATTTTCAATTATCCAACTTTTCATCACAGATTTTTTTTCAATTAAATAATTTGATTTAATTCATTTAATTCATTGTGTAATAAGTCAAAAATGTATGTGGTACTGATGTTTAGGTAATTAAGTTGTTAACTGATTTAAATATTTGTGACTGTAAATATATTAAAACTTAATTTTTGATTAGTAATATGCATTGCTAAGAACTTTATTAGGACAACCTTAAAGGCGATTGTATCTGTATTTTTGCACCCTCAGATTCCAGATTTCAAATAGTTGTATCTCAGCCAAATATTGTCCCATCATAACAAACCATACACCAATGGAAAGCTTATTTATGCAGCTTTCAGATGATGTATAAATCTCAATTTCGAAAAATTTACCCTTATTACTGGTTTTGTGGTCCAGGGTCACATTTGGGGTCAGAAAGATTTTTTAAAGAAATTAATACTTTTATTCATGTATATATTTTAAAATATATTAAAACAGAAAGTTATTTTGAAACAAATATTTCACAATATTACTGTTTTTCTCTATTTCTATCAAATAAATGTAGTCTGATAAATGACAAAAAAGTTTTCAAATTTGTTCAGAATTATTTATTTTTACATATTTCTTCATAAAAATGTAGCTGTCATTTGGAGTCACCTCCAGATTTGTACTGTACTGTACCTGAGTCCAGTGTTGTTGATTGTGTCCCAGATATCTGGATCCACCTCCCAGAACTTCTTGTTCAAGTTGTTCATAATAGCCTAACACACAGACATAAACACAACAATAGTAAATATACAGAAAAACTGCATATTTGTTCCATAGTTAGCTGTGACTGACCTGTACACCCGCATAGGCATTATTGACCAATAAGTCAAGTCTGCCATTTTGCTCACGTTGAACACGTTCAAACAGCTCCTTGATTTCGTCCTCTTTAGATGAGTCACAGATCACTGGAAGACACCGGCCACCTCTCTCTGTCACCTGTTATCATGAAAATAAAAGAAGCATGAAATCAATATCACCTTCTCTAAGCTGAGGGCTATTATTGATACAATCAGGAGATAGTTTCCACACCTCAGCTGCTGTCTGCTTCAGAGTTTTCTCCTGTCGACCAGTGATGTACACTGTAGCGCCAGCCTCAGATAACTGTAGGGCAATACCTCTTCCAATTCCTCTGGAAGCACCAGTCACCACACAGATCCATCCTGATAGTGCCATCTGACAAACACACGCAAACATAAATTGATGCCAGTAATAACAATGTCTGATCTTTAGAATTAGATCATTGAATTGGCTTACACTCAGTTTAAATGATTTGTTTAAAAATCTACCCAAGCGATTCTTGAGTCAACAACTCACTGAAAATGGCCAGATGCGAGCCCTGTCCCAAAAGGGGCACTTAACATACACTTGCAGTATTGCAATATGCTATTTTGGTTAAACAGCAATATATGCAAACATATTATTGGAACGTTTTAGTAATATGCCAAGGAAGTCAGAGACATGTGATGACGTATAATGCAGTAAAGAACCCGCTGAATTATTTTGTAATTGGTTCTTCACAATAAACCATTAAAAAATGCAAACATTGCATCAGACTTGTCATTATTTATGACTTTAATCTTTGTCAATTTCATACATTTCATATGTGATTTTGTGATGTTTCCACATTAAATAAAAAGATTGTATGGATAAAATCTATGTGTTTGGGCCAGGGCCATAGCTGGGGTATGCAGGGGCCCTGGTGCAGGTTGTGGCTGTGGGCCCCTAGAATTGTCACCACCTTTCTCCCTGCTAACGACATGCATGGTTTGGGCAGTTTTCATTATCAGAAGCTCATATTTAGAAAAGTATGAAAAACATGAGCAGGATATTTGTTAATTTTTTAATGAAAATATCTTTCTACAGCTAGAGTGAACATCTATACTTAATGTACGCTTGGTTACACTTTATTTTAAGGTGTCCTTGTAACAGTGTAATTATACATTTAAGTTTTGAGTAATATTGATTAACTACTTACTTTAGGGTTAGGATTAGAGTTTGGCTTAGTGTCACTTGCATGTAACTATGCATAATTGTTATTATAATAGTAAGTACATGTAACGTGTAACAAGGACACCTTAAAATAAAGTGTTACCTTATGCATTATCCAATAAACATGTGCATCTGTTGATCAGTGATCTTACTGTATGGATTATTTGGTTTAATTTGAACAGAAGCATGCTTAGTGGACTTCAATGTGTTGTTAATTAAGTACTGGGTAATGAGTTTGGTTATCATTTGCTCAACCAATTATATATTATATTGATGATAACATAAACAACAACAACAACAAAAACGTGTACGGCTGTTTCTGGGGTGGAGTGGGATGGGTGGGGGTTATCGAGGGTAGACACCATAGACTGTAAAAAAAATGGACGATGCGTCTCCTATTCCTTCCACTATAGAAAAGTGAAGCCAAAGCATCTCAGTATGGCCGCTGCCATCTTGAGAAAATGACCTCTTTTGGAGCCCGAGTCTGCGCAGTAGATATTTGTTTGGAACCAAAAACTCTAAAACGCTGCCTCCGAAGGCAGGAAGGCATCAAGGCACGTCCGAATCCAAATTCTGCTTTACTTCCTGTCTCCGGAGGTACCTTCTTCTGATCGAATTTTGAAGGCAGCATAGCTGTATCCTTCGCTGCCTTTGATATCCCACAATCCTGTGCGTTCCATTCCGTGACGGTTAAGCTAAAAAATAAAGATGGCATCTGAAAGTTGCGTTTGGGGGTCAGTTTGTGTGTAAATGTATATTTCTGACTAACTTTTTGCACTTTTGATGTTATTTCTAGCGAGAAATTAGTATTATAGTAATTAAATATTCGTTTAGTTATCACAAAAACTCGTTCTATTTTGTTGTAGATCATTAAACCGTTACGCTGCCTCAGAAGCCTGTCCGAAATCAGTTTCATGAGGTGCCTTCATGCAAAAACGCTGCCTGCAAAGTCATTGCCTCATACGGCGAGATGGTCCTCACTGCAGAACACAAGATCCAGGGGGCGTGGTTGGATCCAGATCCAACTCCTTCACCTTACATATACCCAAACCTACTCGTCTCCACCCCCTGATCCCTAAGCCCACCCATCTCCACCCCTAAACCTACCCATCTCCACCCATTAACTTATCAATCTCCACTCCCTAGATGTGGATCCAACCACGCCCCCTGGATCTTGTGTCCGCAGTGAGGGGCTACTGCATATACGGCAGCAAGTCAGCTGCCTTTTCCAAGTAGGTATAACTGCAGACTGGAGATCTCCAAAATGGGGCGTGAACTCCAAAAGTGGGCAGAACCTCCGAAATGGGGTGGGGTCTCCTCTCGCAAAGACTTTCACCATTGGCTCTGGCTTCGGCCAATTGTTATTGACTTACATTTCAAAATAAAACTTTATAAATTAGACATTGTTTCTAGTTGATAAAATATGCTATATAAATAAATATTCTCCGTGAGATCAGAGCCCAAAGCTCGTGGCCAGTGGTGTTCGGACTGGAGTTTGAACCTCTGCTTAATGATATAAACGGGAATCACCCACGAGCTCTCCTGCGAGCCGTCCCAGTGCAGGGGAAAGATTTTACTCTATTGCTTTGGTCTAAGCAACGGGGGCGTCCCGGGGCTCGAAATTCGTAGGGTAGGAGGGGGTAGTGACGCTGGGTGTAACTAAAAAGGTGCCATTGTCCGGTGAGGTCCTGTTGGGGAGTTACAGAACGATCTTATAACGCATAATCTTATTAACTGTTTATCTCCTGATCTGCAACTTTCTTTACCACGTTATTCAGCGCCAATCCCGCCGTGCAGTCAATTTCACTGGTTAAGGTTAGGGTCAGGTGTGGGGTAGGCTTAGGGGTTAGCATTTTTTGTAGCATAGTATAGGAAATCAACACTTTAATTGATACAACCAATAAAATCTTTAGAATCAGCTGTGGGGCGGAGTTTGCACTGAAGTGGATTGGGGGAAAAAATGCGCATGTTTGTCATGTGCCTGTCTGTCAATGGAAGGAAGCCACGCCCTATTTTGGAGCTCCCACCCTGTTTTGTAGTTCCCGCCCCCATTTGGAGATCTCAGGCTGCAGTTATACCCTTCTGGCCTTTTCTGATGCAGCCAGAGTCTGCGCAGTAGTGTCGTGAGGTGGAGACCATAACCATATGAGACTAATCAACCATAAAGACACGCCCCGTTTTTGTAGCATCAAATTACTAGCTAAAATCAAACTTATCACAAAAACGAACAATTGAACATATATCAGCGTGATAACAACTACCTTAAATGACAAAAACCAACTTTCGGAAAATTGTGTTGGAAGTGTAATTAATTGTTTTATTTTGACTCAAGTCCCATTCGTTTACACGGAGATGGCGGGGGTTATGACCTGTACTGCAGCCAGCCCCCAGGGGGCGATCAAAGAGCCCGCTTCACTTTTCAGGACGTGTGTGAGGCACACCTGGCAGACACACCGAGAGTCCCGAAATTACAAAGAAGCGGTGACAAATAAAAACCTGTCACCCTGTGGTCACATATCCATCGCTACCCTCTTCACAATACCTATATTTCCATGCAAAGTTGTGAAAGTAATGTAAGCGGAAGATTTAAATATTGCATTTAAAACATTTGTCAGTAAAGTTCCGTTTCCATCCCAAGGGTTCTAGAGAACATGCATAAGTTGGACACTTCCTGGGAAACTGGCGAAATAATAAAAACGAAAGCTTCAGCAAGTGAGGCTCTTTTTTCCTACATAAACGACTTGCGCCTCGGAGCGCGCATGCGGACGAAACACAATAACAAACGCTGCCGTGTTGTCTCGCGTTCGGAGGCGGCGCCTGATCGATGTTTGGTAACGCAATTGTGTGAGACAGCTCTGTGTGGCACTTACACCAAATCAAGATCAGGTACTTCAGAATGACTAAACTTGTGAGATGGTTTGCGATGAGACTAGTGGGCTGTTAGTCCAGTTATTCAGTCACGTCAACGGTTAAGGCAAAGGCACATGCGTTTTTTGTTGCGCTAGAAATTTACTCTGTAAATGTTTCCTTCGTAGTTCATCCGCATCTTGATAAAAAACGGTCCGACTCAACCGAGCGAATACTTTTTATGCGCATTTTTAGAATGTATAAGCCCATCGGCGTCCATCCAACGTTTTCATGCAATAAAATCCGCATAAAAATAGGCTGGTAGAAACAGCCTATTAACTAATGATATTTAATTGGCACAGAATGAAAGTTATGCAACAGCGATGCATCATCAGTTATTTACCAAAGCGTCATGCGGATTGAAACGTAAACTTGAATATCTTCTCACTCGTTTGAAATCTTCGACTTCGACACTTGCGTATGTGTTTTATGAGATGGTTAGAAGATGGGCTATCATATAAACAATATAGCTATATTTAATGAAAAACCTACTTGCGACCTTCATGTAGGCTACATGTAAACGCAACACAGGCTACCTGATCAACGCTGCGGTTAAACCTCCGATGAACTGTTGTCTCAGGAAATCTTGCCTGGACTTGAATCAGGAAACAACAGGCAAAGTTTGGTGAAATTAACTGTAGCCTATTTCTTGCAGATAAGACCGTTCTGTTTATGGCCATCCTCCTATTCCCGTAATACGTCTAATATAAAGCCAATGCGTTTTGTAATGTGTTTATAAAAACTTAATTAAACCAAATGAAATCACCCACCCCATAAACACAAAAGTACGCTAATACCGACCTTTTTCCATTTGTTCATCTTTAGCTTATAATTACAGAGAGAAGGAAATCCAGGGCCTTGATTTGAAACATTTTGGTTCCAGCAAGATAAAGTTAACTCTTCCTCAGTTCTGCCAACTATGTAGCCTACTGTTTAATGGACTAAATTGGTTTGAGGATATGCGGTGTTTATTATAAAGAATATTCAACCAATAAATATAGCCACACAATATGATTCTACTTTTCCCTATAAGTAGCCATTTCTTATTGGTTTTCTTTCCAGGTACTTTTTCCATTTTTATTGAGAGGCAAATAGAAAGGAGCTGTGTCCGAGAGTACTTTTGACAAAGAACTAACGTTGCAAGCATTAAAAGTGACATTTGGATACTTTTTGCCTACTGTTTTTTGAATACTATGTATTCAGACATACTACTCTTCTGGTGTACTGCTTTTCACATACTGTGTAGTAGAGAAGTAGCATATTCATACCCAGTGAATGGACCAGGATGTGAACACAGCAAAAACCAAAGTCTCCTGCACAATATATATTTGATGACAATGGTCAATGGTTAAAATGATAACATGGCCCTACAACAACACTGCACATATAGTGGTGGTAATCTCTGAATTATTCAGTCACTGCATATACCCAGCAGAGCTTGGGTTTATGAGCACTTGGGCACCAATGGACCATGACCACAATTACATATTATTTACCATCAGTCCCGATAACCTGTGGGCTAAATCTACTTTGATGCCTCTCTGCAGAGTCACCACTGCTTGCATGTTACCAATTAAAAACATGTCCGAAAACATGAATACCCAAGGCCCTTACATTTCCATTTTTAATAGTTTGTAGCATCACATAGTCTCCCAGTAACCCCCCTTTCTTTGTTTTTAAAGGGGTCATGATGCTGTTAATAAAACCTTACTTGTATCACACTTGATGTGTTCATTGTTTACTCATAACCGGAGTCAATAATCATGCAGATTTATGTTACAAACTTATAGAATTGTACAGTAAGAAAGTTATTTCCTTTAACCAGGAAATTAACGTTCTTAGAATTGACAAGACGGTTGACCCTGAGTGGTCAGCTAAATATCTACAGTGGATCTAAAATATGAATAGTTAATTATAACTAGTTATGGTTAATTATTCATATTTCCCATGAGCTGATTCGCTACACCACTGATGATTCAAACGTGAGTTTGAGCAGTGTAGAGTAGTGCTTGTTGTTTGTCGTTTCTCCGATCACAAATGCAGACATGGTTTTATGTTTACGCAGCGCGATGCAACGCAACGCGTAAAAAGCCAGTATAAGTCATTATAATCCGTAATTATATCCCCACTGGATGCAACAAATGCCTCGTTTATAATGGGTTTTAATGTTTTTGTCTCGTCGCTCTGGCCTGACAGGGCATCACAGTATGGTAAGGGGCGTAACATTTCCGTCACACGCTTGAGGTATTCGGCCAATCACAACGCACTGGATAGCTGGCCAATCAGAGCACACCTCGCTTTTCAGACAGATGAGCTTTGTAAAAATCGACAGGTTTCAGAAAGGCGGGGCATAGAGGAGAAACAATACTGTACAGTATGTGAAAAATAATGTGTTCTTTGAACTTTAAACCACATAAACATTTCATTACACCAAATACACAAAATAATGTTCTTTTTAGCAACATCATATGACCCCTTTAAGGTGTACAGTACACATAGTTAGGTATTAAGCTGCCAAAGAGTGGTTAGTGCTAATTAATGCACTCTCACACAGATGAAGCCTAAATAAAAAAAGATAGAGGTTTAATCTCAGCAATAAAAACTAAGCAGTAAACTATGTTTAGGGTGACATGCATCATCATTTGAGCGAATGTACTGGCAGAGGCCTCACTGTCATATATCTTGCTGTTACAGTACACACCAAACAATCAATTAATGAGCTTAGAAGAAGCTGTTTATTAATAGCCTTTTATAGCCAAACCTCAAAAATAAAAATGTATATTCTTTGTCAAGAAAGCCTTTGAATACATCTTCATCACTAGCTGATACTAAAAACATTGGTTACTTGCATGATCAGAACGACGACATTTAAAAAAAAAATTATTGCAACCCTAATAATTCCAAATTGTGAGTGTTCCAATGTTCTAAAATATTAAACATTTTAATATAAATTAAACTATTTGATATGAAATTTACATTTTGAGTAGTATTTGAACTCAAAATAATAAAATATTATCAGTGTTATCAGCAGGCGTTGCATTTTCTTCCATTTTTGGAAACAAGTTTTTAGTTAACTGCTGATGAATTTGTATTACAAATAAAAGTGACCGTGTCATTGACATTTACAAAACCACCCTGTTATCAACAAGCTCAAGGCTGGGCTTGTCTTATACACATATTTTCCTCTTTTGCAATGTGAATTATTTTTGCAATGAAGGTCATTGTCAGTACTACCACAATGAGCTGAAATTTGTTCTGATAAAAATAGTTAGTGTACTGAAAATTAGTTTTGGACAGCATATTTTTTTGATGCCCAAACTTTGTGGCTTATACATTTCATATGCTGGGGGGAGGGGGTCTTCATATTTTTAATTTATTAGTTTTTAATTAGCAACAGAAGCAAGAAATTAAACCACTTTACCATTAAATTTACAAACAGTTGGCAATGTTGTAGCCAGCTACATTAATGTATCTTTGTGGCATATTTAAAACAGCAGAGTAAAAATGCATGTGCATGATCAACACATGCAAAATGTAATGACAGTGCAGATTAAAAATGAATAAATGGCAAAAAAAAAAAAAAAAAAGCATTTGCCTCAGTTGGTCCAAAACACTTTCTCTGGCACTAGGTCGTTCTTCTTGTCAAGTCCTGTCTTAGATCAAGGAGTTAGTCAGATCTACACTAAGTCAGTCTATCATTGTTTTCCGGCATGAGATGTAAAATAACCACGTAAAAGTGAGTTAGGCAATAACGGACTGGTGTGCTATTCATATATAAAGCACACAAGCTCATGAGCTCCAGTGTTACTGTGAGATTACATTCACACACAGTAATGAAGTGGATAGAGAATCTCCAGATTTGTTCTTTCTTTGTGTCAATTTACCTGCTGACACAAGCTGAGTGTGGTAAGAGCATTGCTTTGATGGCTCTGTCTGTCCTCTTTCTGACAAGAGAAGGAATGGTTGTATGATACTTTGATTGTGATTTAGGTCCTGTGGATGCAGCCTTAGCTAGGAGTGATGAAAAAGATGCTCCGATTATGGTAGGTTTCATGTACATTTCATTGTGGTTTCTGACATTTAAAAATTTTTTTTTAGATATGACTACTTGTAGTCATACTATGAATTTAAATAGGGTCTATACTTGAATCAGTATACAACTAAACTTACAATTAAATGTTTTTATTATTCTCACAAAGGCTGCATTTATGTGATCAAAAATACTGTAAAACATGAATATTGTGAAATATTATCACATTTTCTATTTTAATGCATTTTAAAATAAATGTATTCCTATGATGGCAGCACTACTGAATTTTCAGCAGCCACTAACCCAGTGTCACACAATCGTTTAGAATTATTATATTATAATGTACTGATTTGGTGCTCAGAAACATTTCTTATTATTATCATTGACTGTTGAAAACAGTTGTGCTGCTTACTATTTTTTTGTGGAAACTGATTTATTATTTTCAGGACTCTCTGATGAATAGAAAGAACAGTATTAATTTGAAATAGTAATCTTAAATAAATGTTAATTAATTGCAAAAACATTTTGAATGGTGTACATGAGAAGTTTAACTTGTGTTTCTAAAACAAAACTGTGCAGCTTTGATAAATCAAGCTAAATAATTATTTCATTAGAAAATTGGATATTTCTATATTTAAATTGTAATGTCTTTCACAGTGCAAAAACTCAGTGTGAACAAGGTCTAAAGTGAATCTTTCCATACATTTTAGGCACATAGGGATTTCACAAGAGAAAGAAGAGCCATAGAGGTGTGGCTGTTATTAATCTTTATGTTGTTGTTTTTGTGGGTGTTTTTCACATATAATTTTCATTTTACATGCATGCACTTTTAAATGTACTTAATGTTGTTTTTAAATACATTTTCATTATCTCTCTGTTATCTACTAAGGACTGTTCAGGTATGTGAATTATATTTTTCTTTACTATATTTTATTCAGAACCATTTTAATCATATGTGACCCTGGACCACAAAACCAGTCATAAGTAGCACAGGTATGTAGCAATAGCCAACAATACATCGTATGGGTCAAAATTCAGTAAAGATCATGTTCCATGAAGATATTTTGTAAGTTTCCTACCGTAAATATATCAAAACTTCATTTTTGGTTAGTAATATGCATTGCTAAGGACTTAATTTAGGCAACTTTAAAGGCGATTTTCTCAAAATTCTGATTTTTTTGCACCCTCAGATTCCAGATTTTCAAATATTGTCCTATCCTAACAAACCGTACATCAATAGAAAGCTTATTTATCTATCATTCAGATGATGTATAAATCTCAATTTCAAATTGACCCTTATGACTGGTTTTGTGGTTCAGGTTCACATATATTAATATTAAACACAAGATATTAGATTCTGATATGAAAATATTAGTTTTAAACTTCAACCAGTTCTACTATAGATTGGGGTGTACATCCTAGTAAAACACTGTACAAATTAACTAGAAAGAGTTAGTCTTATGAATATTTTATTTAATAAAAATCTCAGGCACTATGATCATCATCTGTACTTCTTTAGGCCTCCGGAAAGATCTTGATGAGATGAAGATTAAATGTAGGGATTCTTATAAAGTAGCGAAGAACAATATTGATGGTGAGTCAACCCATCTTTATTCTACACAAATCTCAAAGTATATATATATATATATATATATATATATATATATATACTGTATATTAACCATGCAGTTCCATCCTGGACTTATATTCATCAAAAATATTTATATTGGTGGACATGTTTACAGGTCTTAAAAGCGAGCTGAATGGTCTTGTTAAACAAGTCAGTACCAGTCCAGCCAAGGATGGTATGTGGAAAATCATGATACTGGTGAACATAGCTGTAACATGTTATTTTTTTCTGTAACATACTATTATTGATTAGCAAAAAGACAATGGTTGACACTTTTTACCCTTGTGTTCCACCCATTCAGTCTTAAACATTCTCCAGAAAGTCATTGACCTACAGGAGCTGGACGCGATAATAAGCACTGAGAGAGATGCCACAAAGATTGAAAGTGTGTTGCAACAATATTACTTTTAGTATTAGCTTCAATATTATCTCAATATCCCATGTATATTCACACAGCTTTTTATCTAAAATTCAACAGGACTGGACAAGCGTCGAAAGGATGCAGAGAGAGACTTAGCAGGGATGAAGACAGAATTCTCAGGAAGTGTAGAAATTTTCGAGCGGGCAGGTAGAGATACACCCCTGTGCATGGAGCAATACCACACTGACACTGCATTTTGAGTCCTTGCTCAATTCTTAACCAAAGGAAACTGAAGTAATTGTTTGTTCATTTTTCTTCATCTAGTTTCAAAGATAAGCACAGAGACACTGAAAAGCGATAAGGCAACCTCAACACCTCTTAATGGTGTGTATGACCAAAAACAGGTCACTTTTGATTTATATGATCTACAGCCTCATCATCATTAGTGAATAGCCTAAGTAATCAATCCCAAAACTGACTAAAATACATGTGCTTATATATTTATATCTAATCTACAGAATTAAAGAAATATCTGGAAGACAAGCTCCAACAACCAGGGGAAAAAGGTGGCATTACAGACCAGGGTGAGTTCAATGAGAATGAGAGCAATGGATCACAAAACTTTTAGCATATTTTAGTATTTGTTTTGAAAGGTTTTGAAAATGTGTCATAGCAGTTTGATTGTTTTCCACGAGAGAATACTATTTGTTTTGTTTTTAGTGCTGCAGACTGTTATATTGCAAATGAAAGCAATGGAACTGAAGACGCGTATCTCCGGTAAATTTAAGACGCAAGCGCAGATGGATGGTGAGTGTTCATTATTGATGTTTACAAAATCCTTATCAGGCCAGGAAGTTATGAAGTTGCAGTTTTGAGATGATTAGAGCAAGTTTACTTTTAGTAATGTATGATTGTTGCGTCTCTTTTTGGATGTTTGATAGTAATTATAAGCAAACTGGAGTATAAAAATGGCCTTCTATCAGATCTGAAAGAGGAACGAGAAGTGAGGAGAGAAAACAGAGAAAAAATTGGTATGGTTTGTTTTCCAGTTTTGTTTAGTTTTTTGTAGCTCCACAGTAAATTTATACCATCTATAATCCATTATGTGACAAATAAGAGGTTCCTGATTACTGCAGCATATCCTTTTTCTGTTTTCCGTTTTGTGTTCACAGATATACTCATAGCAGCACTGGAGAAAGAAATATTAGAGCTGAACGGCAAATTATCAGCTCTTAAACAAGTATTTGTTCAGCTTGATGGTACTGGAATCAGACTATAAATGATTTATGAATAATTTAGCATATTATATTTAGATGTGGGAATCACTACTTCATCCTGACAATAATTTGTATCTTTTAGAACAGACAAATGAATTTGATGGGAAAAGAATAGAAATAATGGACAAAATTGCCAAATTTAAGGGAAAAGATGAGATAAGTAAGTTTCTTTCATTTAAACATACCCGATTCTCATTTATTGTGAATTATTGTTTCTAGTGGCACTGTTTTTGAAAAAAAATCATCAGTACAATTTATAATACTTTTGCTACTTTTAGTTTCTAGAGTTCTTAAACTCCAGTTTGAATTTATGGAGGCACTAATTACGGGACAGGGACAAATGAAAGCAGACGAATTTAAGATAAATGGTGAGATCTGAATGGTTTCTTAAAAATAAGTAAATAATTATTTTTGTTTATTTTCATGTTGTTGTTTTTTAGCCAGGCTTTCATAAGCAGCTTTAAAATAATTGTGATGTTTATGTGATTTTGGGTTATTCCCTCTTTAGATCTCCAGAAAGAGCTTGGAAAGGAACAGGACAGGGCATTATATCTGGATGCTGACAACAAAAGTAAGATTGATATATTGTTTTGTAATTACTTACAATTATAGCAAATGTAATCATGGATGCTTAATCCATACAGATGAAAAAACACTTTTCTGCATTAATTTATTTAGCAGATACTATTGCCCAATTCAACTTACAAATGAGAAAAATAACACACAATTTGTCTTAGTATTCACAATATGCAATGTTAATATTAGCCTTGTCTTTATCCCAAATGGAACATGTATTGTTAATGTATCTATAATTTCTTCTACACCCAGGTTTACGCAAAAAGCTGTTTGTCCAGGCAGAACAATGCAAAGACCTGATGGATCTGTACATGAGTGAGACATTTTACTCTTCTTGACTCCCAGCAAGCAGCCATATGAAAGCTTTGTTCACATGAAAGCAACAGGAGAAATTTAAATGGGATTATTAAATGCTGTTTGCAGATTATGCTAAAAAAAAAAAGAGGTTAATCTCACTTTAATTGTGTTGCAATAATCATTATTTATGTTGTCTTTTCCAGATGCAGAAGCTGAACTGGATATTCAAGTAAATAATATATTAGATAAAACCTCAAAGGCAGGTGAGTTGAGTGAAATTTTTAGTCACACAAAATATAACACTTTTTTTTTTTTTTACATGCATTTAATTTAACATACATCTTTCCACAGCTCTCCAGATTATTTTGCTAGGCTTTGAAATAGACCAAATAATGAAGCAAATTAAAGCATCCTCATCTAATGACGGTATGTCTGTTTTTTTGTACTTTTATAATTCAGTTTGAAAAACAGTCAGCATTAATCAGGTACTTAGGGTAACAATTGAAACCATTTCTAAAGTATATTGTTCTGTACTGCGTTTCAAAAACCGTTTTTTCCAGTTTTCATGTGGAAATGTAATATTTACTTTTTTGTACATTTATAATAGATTTGAAGCGAATACGGGATGAAAAACTCAAAGAACTGACGTTGAAAAAGGAGGAACTTCAGAAAAGTGACGCTAGCTCTGAAAAAAGTGAGACTCTTTGCATTAATATCTACCACACGTCTTTGTCTTTTGACTCGCATCTAAGCATGTTTTTGTCTCTGCTTGTCAGTTCTTAAAGTGATATCACAGATGGAGGAAATCTGGAAGATACAGAGTGAAGATCCAGACAACTTAAATAAAATCAGCAGTGAGTATATAGTGCGGTATACATACAGTAGTTATGATAATGGGGGAAAAATTGATCGTAAAGGCCAATTCAGACCACACCGACATGACGCAGACAAACATGTTCATCGGGTTTTGTCTAATCAGTGTGTTTCCCCCTTCGGCTTCTGTTGGTGTTGGTTGGTGGCGGCGCATGGTTTCGATGATTTAACCTGTTGAATCAGTGTTTGTTGGTTGTCTGAGAAGTGACGTACTGTACTCGGTCAGCTGTCGGTGTAAATTGACCTCAAGGTTTCAACACACATTCTGTTTTGGTTTCAGATCTGCAGAAGGATCTCCTGAACTTGATAAGCAAATTAGATGATAAAATGGCTTCAAAACCAAGTGAGTGGAGAGTTATGGTCCTTGTTTGGAACTAAGGCTCATGTTATTTGCAGTAGCAAATTAGGAGTTTATTGAGGCAAAAGTATGGTTTGTTAATAGCGAGAATTGGACCTTAAAAAATAAAGTGTGACCAATAGTTAAAAAAATTTACTTTATGAATATTACACAAGCTCAAATCAGTTCATCTGTACCAAATTCATCATTTGTTCAGATATGTTTGGCAGAACAATCAATATTACTATTATTTTTGTTTGTCTCAGTGCTGAAAATCATTGCTCTTCAGTCTGATGTTACCTGGATAAGAGAAATGCTGAAAACTGTGACTACACAGGCTGAGATCCAGAAAGCTGGTTGGCATTGATACTTTTCGATACGTTAAAAGAGGTATAAATAATGGTGTAACATTTCTTGATATTGCTATATTTACATTGACTTCTGACAGAGCTTCAAAAGGCACTGGATGACGTAAAACGTTTGCTGAATGAAAAAAACAAAGAGCTGGCTGCTGCGACCGGTGATGTTAGTCAGATACGTGAGTGAAACCTTTAGTTTTCAGAGCTCAAACAATAACTGAAATGGCAATCTTAGCTGTCATGAAAATGCTTGATTTACAGAGAAAGATATTGCTGCTCTGAAGAAAGAAGTTTTGACATTGCAAATCCAAAAAGACACAACTGAAAGGAATGCAATGCAGAAGATTAAAGGTATAGCACATTCATTCAGCAGCATTGATTTTCATGGTCATTTTTTCTTTGATTAAAAATAATGAATTGAATTGAATTGTTTTCTCTTTCACAGATCTTCAAGATAAACTAAAACATAGTGATGAGGCATTGGATGATGCCAATAAATCACTAAAAGAGAAGAATGCCACAATATCACAACAAAGTTAGTCACTGAAGAGATTCACCAAATCAGAAAGTGATTTCTGGTTGCTATAAATGATCAGGATTGGAAGACTTGTCTGCCAATGTTCAGTCTGATCATTGCTATATAACATTTTAATCTGATGTCCCCTTAGTTGCAAAGATCAACAATCTCTTAGACGAAGTGAGAACCTTGAAACAACAAGTGCAAGAAAAAGGATCCCAAGTAAATGCTAGAATAGCTGGTGAGTTTCATTCAATCCATCCATCCATCAGTTACAATCTCTTGCAATCGTTTAACAGCAAAGCACATCAACATTGGAGCTCTCCATTAATTCAAGAACACAACTTGCTGCTGTTCTTTTTAGATCTTAAAAGGAGCCTAACGATGAAGGAGGAAGAAAATGCCCAAATTCGTGCTGAGAATGAAAGTAAAAACATATTGCTGCAGTCTTCAGTAATATAGGACATTTAAATCATCGTCTAAAGAAGATTTCCTTATCTTGCCTATTCTGTCTCTCTCTCTAGAGCTGAGAAAAGATTGTGTGGACACTGCTGAATGCCCTGAACTCCAGAAAAAATATAACGGTACCTTATCTTTCTATCTTTTGTAAACTGGATTTGGACAGTTGTGTAAACAGGATACTTGATGGCTGTGTTACAGAAATGCAGGCTGCATATAACGATACCATTTCTAAGCTGAACAATGACATTCTTAAGAAGGGTGAGTGAAGATTCATAATTAAACTGGTTTATAATTAAATTGATGACAAAGTTAATCACAAAATATTATAAATAATGCCATGAAAACACAATAAAACAAAAACAACAAAAAAAACATAATCTTGTGTTAAACCCAAAGTCGATATCTTACACTCTTTTATACTGTCACATAATTCTCTCTGTCCAATGTTGTTGTTTTCAGCTTATATCATTAAAAGTCTAATGGATGAAGTTCAGTACCTGGATGAGCAAACCGCACAAGGAGGTAATGAAGGTGTGTGTCCATTGATTCTGATATCGCATAAACTGCAGTACTTTTAGACATACACATTAAAAGCAGATTCAACCAGTGCACATACATTCATGTTTTTAAAAAGAAGTCTCTTGTGCTCACCAAAAATACAGTAAAAACACTTATTGTGAGATATTATTACAATTTAAGATAACTGACTTCTATTTAAATATATTTTGACAATGACATTTATTTTTGTGCTGGCAAAGCTGAATTTTCATTCGTCAGTGTAACATGATCCTTCAGAAATCATTCTAATATGCCAATTTGGTGCTCAAGAAACCATTATCATTATCATTATTATTATTATCAATGCTCAAAACAGTTGTGCTGCTTAATATTTTTGTGGGAACCATAAGACATTTGATGAACAAAACGTTTTTTTTTTTTACTTTATTCATTTACACTAAAACTCTTGACTGTCACTTTTGACCAATTTCATGCATCCTTGCTGAATAAATGTAAAAATTTAGCAAAGAAAAAAACATACTGACCCCAAACTTTTGAATACCATTGATTCTGATATCGCATAAACTGCAGTACTTTTAGACATACACATTAAAAGCAGATTCAACCAGTGCACATACATTCATGTTTTTAAAAAGAAGTCTCTTGTGCTCACCAAAAATACAGTAAAAACACTTATTGTGAGATATTATTACAATTTAAGATAACTGACTTCTATTTAAATATATTTTGACAATGACATTTATTTTTGTGCTGGCAAAGCTGAATTTTCATTCGTCAGTGTAACATGATCCTTCAGAAATCATTCTAATATGCCAATTTGGTGCTCAAGAAACCATTATCATTATCATTATTATTATTATCAATGCTCAAAACAGTTGTGCTGCTTAATATTTTTGTGGGAACCATAAGACATTTGATGAACAAAACGTATTTTTTTTACTTTATTCATTTACACTAAAACTCTTGACTGTCACTTTTGACCAATTTCATGCATCCTTGCTGAATAAATGTAAAAATTTTGCAAAGAAAAAAACATACTGACCCCAAACTTTTGAATGGTAGTGTGCATTCATTCATTTTACATCACATGAGGAATGGGTAAAACTTTCAATAGTTTGATGTGCTTTTCAATATATGGTTATCTTCTTCTTAGAACTAAAGCTAGAACTTGAAGAAAAGAAAAGAGAATTGAAGGAGGCAAAGCAGAAATTGCATGCTGAGGGATCCATATCAGCCAAAAGTGAGTCCAGCCCCATTTGACCAATTTTGGGACGTCTTCATCTGAAGAGAGACTATTGCACACTTACACAATGCTTTGTTACAGCTCTGGATGTACTTGAGTTGTTAACTAATATAGGGAAGCTTCAAGAAAATCCAACTGAAGACAATTCAGAAAAGATCCGCAGTAAGTTTAAACAAATCCATTTATGTACTCTCATTTTTCATTTCTTCCTTTAAAAAAACATTTAATCCATTGTCTTACAATTAGTGATGTTCTTCTCTTCATTTAGAACTGGAAGCTCAATTAAATGGTTTGCTGGCTGAGTTGCAAAACTCTGGAGAGGAAGGGCTTGGACTGGGTGAGTTCAACCAGTAGAGCATGCATGGTGCTAGCAACGCCAAGGTTATGGGTTTGATTCTCAGGGAACACATGAACTGATGAAATGTATACCATTGTTAAATTGTCTGTTCACGTAAATGTTTTACTTATATATTTATACAGCCTTGAAAATAATGTCTATAAAGGAATCAATGTCTAAACTAAAACAAGCACAAGCACAAATGCAAGAGAAATATGCAAAGGAAATCAATGGTAAGTTAATCTTCAATGCATCAATATCAGAAGATTGGTGATTATTCGTTTGAGTAATAGTGGAAACAAAGACTACTAAACAGATATTCTTGTTGTTGTCAGGATTGAAGAATCAAATAGAGAACAAAGAAAAAGAGATTTTGCTGTTGCAGGCTAACTGTGAACTGTCAGATAAGCTGAGTAAGTAAAAGTGAAAAAAAGGCACCAAAGAATATTTTTTGGAAGTGATTTTACCCATCCTTTACAGGGATAGTTCAATTTTGTCATTATTTACTCACCCTCAAGGTGTTCCAAACCTATGAGTTTATTTCTTTTGTTGAACATAAAAGTAGGAATTTTGAAGAATGTGGGTAACCAAACATTTGCGGGTCTCCACTGACTTCCATAGTATGGGGAGCAAAAAGTGTTTAGTTACCCACATTCTTCAAAATATTTTCTTTTGTATTCAGCAGAAGAAAGAAATGCATACAGATTTGGAACAGCTCGAGAAAATATTAATTTCACCAAATGTGAATATTTCCTACCAGATATGTAAGCCTACTCTGCATTTTAACTCAATGTGTTGTTATTAAGACATGCTCCTTCTTTTTTCATGAACAGAGGACAGGATACAAAATCTAGAAAAGGAGCTAGAGGAAAGCAAACAAAATGTTAAAAAACTGCAACAAGAATCAAACGATAAGATTGCATGTAAGTTTCAGCGAAAATGCATACTGTTGTGATACCATCACAATTAAAACAGCACTATGTAACTTTTTCTGTGTTCAAAATTTGCAAAATGTATATAATGAGCGAGTACATCATGAATTAATCTCCCAAACCGCGTTTTTGTCTTATTCCGAATCACTACGGTACACTTATAATAAGTACTTATATTTGGACTATTGTAGCCTGGTCGGGTCGTCACCGCTGCGGAGTAACACATACCTGCGTGAATCGCCATAGACATAAACTTAGAGAAGTAGCTCCGGTTGGAATGTTCTTCCGCGGGATGTGTGCAGTTCTGTTTATTAACCGCTAGAGCGCCAAAAGATGCATAGTGCTGCTTTAACTTTTATTTCTTTATAATGATGCATTTTAAACATGTACATAGCTTTTTGTTATCAAATATTATCATGTCATTTTTTCCTCAGCACTACAGAAACAAATTAAATCAAAGGACCAGCAGCTTGCTAACACTGAAGATCAACTGCAAAAGTCAAATGCTGAAAATGCTGCTTTGAGTAAGAAAAGCTAGTTATGAATAAAGACAACAACATTGCAGAATTAATCAACCCCACATATATGTTTGATTCCATATTGTCACCTTTGCATGGTTAGGCATTCCAAGAATTTCAGTTTTCTGTCTTTTGTTTTAGTCAAACAGCTGAACAATCTGAATGATGACTTGAAGAAACTCAAAGAGGAGAAAAATAAGGCACTGCAGAATGCAAAAGAAGAAATTGACGGTATGACCACATTGTCAAAACACCAAAGACGTGTGCTTGAATAATTAGCAAGTTCACTTTTCCAGTACTATACAGTTTTTTTTAAGATTGCTGGAGTGATTAGATGTGTTGGAAAAAGCAATGATCAGCGTGTGAGAAACAAACTGCGAAAAGTGCCATGTTGACATACTTCTATCTTTAATCTCAAATTTGACCCATTATACCAAGGTAGAATCAATTTGACCATTTCTTTCTTTCTTTTTTACTAACTGCATTTTTGTGATCAGGTTTAAAAGAGAAATTGCAAAAACAGGAAAGAGCGCTTACTGAAAAGGATTGGTACCTGAGGGAGAAAAATGAAGTCATTGCTGCATTGAAAAAGCAACAGGACAATATGAAGGGCGAGCTTGAAAAAGTAAAGAACAAAAACAGAGGTCAGTGAAAAGGTCATCCTCTGCTTAAAAACAGAGGAACATTTGGTTCAAAAATGGGAAAATTTTGAGTATTGTCAATCAGATTTGCTGCAGATAAAATGTAATGATGCTACAAATTACACAATTGATGCATGTTACTCAAACTTTTTTTGTCCAGAGCTAGAGACAGAGCTTAAAGCAAAGGACCAGCAACTTGCTAAAACTGAAGCCAAACTAAAGGAAATAAATGCTGAAAATCAAGACTTGGGTAAGAATAAAATCATTGAATAATGAAAGACTGAATTGCTGATTGAAAATCCAATATAAATTGTGTAAAAATGAATTAGCCCAAGCATTGTTATCTTTTCTTTTTTTTTACATATTATATAATCACATATGCTTACAGTAATTTGATTATTTCTTGCCCTTTGTTTTAGTTCACAAGCAGAAGAAACTTGAAAAGGAACTACAACAAATTACAGGGGAGAAAAATGAATTACAGGAAGAAATCTCTGGTATGACAATACAGTCAAAATACCACAGAAGCAAAAACATGATAAAATTTACATGTCCAGTATTTTTTACATGCTTTTACATTGCTCAATCAGCAGATGTAAATGTGCTCTGCAGCTTTATATTTTATAATGTAATCTATTATATTGTATTCAAAACTCAAATTGTTCATTTGAAAATTTTCTAAGCCTAATAATATGTTTTTTCATCCCTTTTGTCAGATCTAGAAAAGACATTGGAAGCAAAAAAACAAGAACTTGCTAAGAAGGACCAGAAACTCCAGGAGAAGGACAAAGAAGTTGCTACACTGCAAAAGGAAAATGCAGATACAAAGGCCGAGCTTAAAGAAGAGAAAAAAATAATAAACGGTGAGTGGGGTGCAATAATCTTTCAGTATAGTGAACAATGCAAATTAAATTTGGCCTGGGACCAAACATCTTTTGCATGTATCTGTGATAGGTAATCTGACAGGTTTTAATATTTTCACAATATTTATAGGTGTGATCAATGAGAACGAGAAACTTAGACAAAACCTGGATGAGACTAAAAAGAAAGTAGAGGAACTTAAGGGTGAGATATTTATTTTATCTAAGCCAGAAGTATTACTAGCTTTATTTTCACAATTAACAATGTATGGTTTTATTTCTTTTATAACTCGTCATCCAGAAATTATAAGTGAAAAAAAAGAACCTCCTAAGAGTGGTAAGTTTGTGATCTAGAGCTTGTAACAGCAAATCCATGTACAGAAAACATAAATAGTGAAAAAAAAATATATATTTTAGAAAAACCTAATAATAAGATTTTTGCATCTAAACAAAACATTTTGAGGGAAAACTACACTCATATGCGCACCAAGCATAGCTTTTCAAAACACTTTAACAGCAGAATAGTCCATAGGTGACTTGATTTCAGTTTCATTTTGAAGAGTATTTAAATGGATGACTCATGCAGAAATGCAAAATCTGTCAGCATTTACTCACCCTCATGTTGACCTACTTTCTTACTTGGAACATTAAAGGAGATACTCTGCAAAATGTCTCAGTGTTTTTTGTTCATACAGTGGTACAGACAAGTCAATGGTAGCCAGAACTGTTTGCTTGTCAACATTCTTTGAAATATCTTTTTTTATGCAGAAGAAACAAACACATACAGGACTGGAATGACATGAGGGTCAGTAAACAATGACAACATTTTTATTTTTGGGTGAACTATCCCTTTAAAATCAAGAGAGAGCTTGTAACAGCAAATCCATGTACAGAAAACATAAATAGTGAAAAAAAATATATATATTTTAGAAAAACCTTTAGGGAAAAAAAAAATAAGATTTTTGCATCTAAACAAAACATTTTGAGGGAAAACTACACTCATATGCGCACCAAGCATAGCTTTTCAAAACTCTTTAACAGCAGAATAGTCCATAGGTGACTTGATTTCAGTTTCATTTTGAAGAGTAAAAAAAAAAGCATTGTATGAAGAGCCTCAATCTTTGCCTGCTGTTCCAGAAAGTCGGCTATAGAAGTACGCAACAAAGGCTGGATCCTTCTCCTCTAAGCTGTTCAAAAAGGCATTTCTCTCCTCTTCACTCCATGAATCAAACCACTGAGTCCACAGTCTTAACTGGCATTCAAAAATGTTGGGTGGGCGATCATTCACCTGAAACGCAGAGACAAAGAAGGTACCGACATTATCATACAGATCAATCTGCTTAGCATTAATTATGTCAGATAGATAGTTACAAACATAAACAAGTATCAACATGATTTAAGTCCAACAATTAGCATCTTATGTTAAAAGCATGTTTGTAAGAGAGCTTGTAACAGCAAATCCATGTACAGAAAACATAAATAGTGAAAAAAAAATATATATTTTAGAAAAACCTAATAATAAGATTTTTGCATCTAAACAAAACATTTTGAGGGAAAACTACACTCATATGCGCACCAAGCATAGCTTTTCAAAACACTTTAACAGCAGAATAGTCCATAGGTGACTTGATTTCAGTTTCATTTTGAAGAGTAAAAAAAAAGCATTGTATGAAGAGCCTCAATCTTTGCCTGCTGTTCCAGAAAGTCGGCTATAGAAGTACGCAACAAAGGCTGGATCCTTCTCCTCTAAGCTGTTCAAAAAGGCATTTCTCTCCTCTTCACTCCATGAATCAAACCACTGAGTCCACAGTCTTAACTGGCATTCAAAAATGTTGGGTGGGCGATCATTCACCTGAAACGCAGAGACAAAGAAAATACCGACATTATCATACAGATCAATCTGCTTAGCATTAATTGATTATGTCAGATAGATAGTTACAAACATAAACAAGTATCAACATGATTTAAGTCCAACAATTAGCATCTTATGTTAAAAGCATGTTTGTAATAAATCCACTATTAAGATGTTTTTAACTTCAACCTGTTGCTTACAGCTAAAATATGAGTCCTCTATCCATAATACTGCTTTCTCAAATGAAAAGTTGTCTCATCTGAATCAGGAGAGAAATATGCACAAATCAAGTGCACAACAAAACAAGTGAAAATAGTCCAAACAGCTCTAAATAAATATGTTGGTGTATTTTAATATAAGAGGATAACAGGAGATGGAATTTTACACTGGATGTGTTATTATGGATTATGGACTAGTATGTTGTCTGAAAGTGATGGTTTAAAGTTAAAACGCTGTAATAATGAATTTGTTTCTTATAAATATGCAGCTTTTCAATTCACAAGATGTTAACTGATGGACTAGAGTTGTGTGAATTACTAGGTTGTGGATTATTCTGATATTTTTATCAGTTGTCTGAACTCTCATTTTGACGGCACCCATTCACTGAAGAGGATCCATTGGTGATCAAGTGATTTAATGCTAAATTTTCCCAAGTCTGTTCTGATGAAGGAACAAACTTATCTACATCTGGATGGTGTGAGGGTGAGTAAATTGTAAGCAATTTTTCATTTTGGGGTTTACTATTCCTTTACAAACAAGGATCACACAACAAAGAAAATGAATCAAATAAAACACCTGCAGTGTGTTGAGTTGGTCTAATAAACTGGACACCTTTCCAGGCACAGCCTTTGAAATCAGATCTTCCAGAAAGCGTTGCTTCTGGACAGCGTTCCATCCTAAAAACCAACTTAGTACACATCGTTGCTCCTGAAGCGTCACGAAGGACAGCGGCACGGAGTCTTCTCTGGAGCCCATGTTGAGGGATGTGCAGGACAGTGCTTCCAGACGTTGGGGAACGATGCCTCCTGAAGCAGGTGGAAAGTCTGTGATGGAAACTGGAAGAAATGTTGACCAACCTTGTCCATCAGACATCCCTAACTGTGTAATGGTGTGCTTGGAGACCTGTGTATGGGACAGATCTTCCACTGTAGGGGGCATCATGGATCCATCTGGCTGGCCCGAGCCTTGTAAAGCCTGCTGGAACCAAGCCATTTCTAATAAAGACAGCAAAAGGATTTCAGAAGGATTATCACTGATGGTACTAAACAAAACTATAGCGTTAAAAGAAAGTGGTTGCCTTAATGTTGTTGAGCATTTTTATAACTTACACAAACCAAGTTCATGCATTTTAACATAACGTTACATCGTAACCTCAAATGCTTCATAAAACTGTTAGTTTTGTTGTGCATCGTAACATGTAGGCTACACTTATATTTACTTCCTTGTTACAACATATGCTTGCTAACGTCAGAATGCTAGCTGATCACAACAAACGTGTAACCACCTTTTTAACTATTACTTGAATCAAAATGTAATTCTAAATAAAATGTTACCCTTTTCTTAGTTGCAATTGTCACCTCTCGTCGAAAACAGCATGTTTTTACTTTTAACGTCGGTAACCAGATGGAAAATAATCTCGACTGAGCCGAGAAGCTCAAACGGAGCCGCTCGCTGTGTTCAATAAACCGCTTGCATCGGCTCTGAGTGACACAGGGGGGCTCTGCAGGTTAGCGATGTCCTATTCGTGAACGAATCTTTCTTCTTCTTCTTCTTCTTCTTCTTCTTCTTCTTCGGTTTTATGGCGGGTAGCACTAATGTTAAGATGCATTATCGCCACCTACTGTATTGGAGTGTGAACCAGAGTTTACCCTTTCATAATAAGAGGACAAAAAAATTACAATAACAACAAAGATTTACTAAATAAAATAAACAATGTTTACTTCTTTACCTCAATAAGATTTTCCCCTCTAAATTCTCTTAATCAGCTCTGTTCTCTTAAGATACGAAAATAAACTTTCTAGTCCATAAGTAAATATATTTTTAAGCTTTAAGTTATCCACTCCCATCTTTCGAAGTTCATTCTTCATTGTTTCTCGTTCATTAGTATACCTTTGACAACACAAATAACATGTTCTACTGATTACTCCATTCCACAGTGCTCACATAATCCTGTTGGATGTTTATTTATTATTTTTAAGGTTTTATTCAGCATAATATGCCCAACCCTTAATCTTATTAGAATATTTTCCTCTTTGGTTCTTCTTATAGTTATTCTCACGACTCCTACTTCTCGCTGTATTTCATAAAGTTGACGTCCTGTATTTCCTGTATCCCACTTATGTTGCCACTCCTTAGTGGTATATGCTTTAATTACTGCTTTTGCTTCATATTTACTAAGTGAGATATTCATGATATCCTCGTTTTCCAATGCCTGTTTTGGTAATCCATCAACCTTTTCATTACGCTTTATCCCCCTATGAGCTGGTATCCACATAAATATTATCATGATATTCATATTCTTAAACTATACAGATTTTCATACATCTCATTTTCTATATCCTGTCTACTATGAGATGTGAATGATTGCAATGACTTTAATGCCGAACATGAATCTGTACAAAGTATAACCTTTTTTATTTGAGTCTCCTCTATCCACTGTAGTGCTGTTGCTATTACCATCATCTCTACTGTGTATACTGATAAATGAACTGATGTTCTCCTATTAACAGAAATGTTTAAGGATGGAATACTGAATGCAAAACCTATTCTCCCTGTATTAGGATCTTTAAATCCATCAGTATATACTGGAGCAAATACTTGATATACAGTTTGTAGTCTATCTTCAACAACAGCTACAATGTTTTTAGGTTCTTTCATTAACTCCAGCATATAAAAAACTATGAGTACTGCAGGAAACATCCAAGGTGGCGTTATTGATAACGGTACTGCAGGAATGTATCTTTTATGACTTAAAATCATTTCTCTAGCTTCTTTGTCACTATTGCATGCAAAACACTTCTGTTTAGACCTTTCCTTTTCCCAGCACGGAAGGAGTACCTTTACTGTTGGATGGCGGTCTTCTGAATGACCTTGAAGAATACCCAGTAGTTCATCACTAACTGCTTTCGTCTGATTTGTAACGGCATTTCACCCACTTCAACCTGAAGAGCAGATAAAGGAGTCGTTTTAAAAGCACCACAACAAGTTCTCAAAGCTTGAGCTTGTATTACATCCAGCTTCTTCAGTAAAGTTTTTGCTGCCGAGTCGTAAACAATACTTCCGTAATCTAACACTGATCTAATCAGTGCTATATAAATACTTTTCATTGCAGCTCTACTCGCTCCCCACTCTGATCCTCTTAGACATCTCATCACATTTAAAATCTTTTTACATTTAGTGTCAATCTTTTGAATATGTTCGTTCCATGTTAATTTTGTGTCAAACCACACACCCAGAAACTTAAAAACTTTAACTTGTTCAATAGTTTGTCCATACATCTTTATCTGTATGTCAATACCTCTTTTCCTAGTGAACATTATTGTTTTTGTTATATCTACTGAAAACCTGAATCCCCATGCATATGACAATTTTTCTACTACTTCAATTGCTTCTTGTATCTTTCCTATAATATGATTTATATTCCTTCCCCATTTCCACAATGCCCCATCATCAGCAAACAATGATCGCCCAATGTCTCCTTGAACTTGAGAAAATACATAATTTATCATAATTGAAAAGAGTATTGGACTTATGATGCTGCCCTGGGGGTACCATTTTCTTTCTTCTTCTTCTGATGTTTTTTGGCGGTTTTGGCAAAGTTTCACAATTTGAGTTGAACTACTGAAATAAATTAACTTTTCCACGACATTCTAATTTATTGAGACGCACCTGTATATAAAAAAAAGAAAAACCGCTATTTCAATTTATATTCTTTCCATATTTCCTGTCTTTTTTAGGTAATTGAACACTTCTTCTTTAATTCTTGATTGCATTTGTCTATTCCCTAGTAATATCTTGAGTGATACTTTATCATATCCCATCAAACCTAATTTATGATTAAGTTGCTTTCTTTCTCTTTCATATGCATCACATTCTAGAAGAATGTGCTTTACTGTTTCTGGATTTGCTCACGAATCTGACTGAATGATTCATTAATGAAATTAACTGGATCAGTAAGGCCAGTTGTTGAACATGTCCGATTCATATAAAGGATGTTACTGAAGGATGTTACTTTAGTAACCTAATAGCAGAAATGTTACAAATAAAACATAGTTTTCAGCAAAGATTGTAACTGAATTGACTTTAAACTGATTTTTAAAACTGATTCACTAAAACGAAAGGTTCGAAACAACTAATTGCCTAAAATAAATCGTCCTTTGCCTTGTCGTAGGCAAAATCTCAAAAATCTGTATTTATTCTTTTTAATTATAAAAAATATTTATAGTGGCAATTATGGTTTTACCTACGACGTGGGACATCATAAACGTGGATTCATGCATTCAGAATTTCAGACAGTGATACTGGAGGACTAAATTCAGTATATATTATTGATTATGCATATTATGTACTGGCAAGCTGATGCAGATGAACCCAGAATATGAACGAAGTTCGTTAACGAGGTTAATCACAAAAACAATTGGAGAACAAATTGAAGTATGTATCTAATTGAGTGTGCCTATTATGTACAAAACTATAAAAGCACAAGATTAATAACTGTTTATTAATTAGAAAATGCTTAACGCTTCAGTACGGAAGTTCTAAACGGCCATGCATTATTTTTTTTCCCTTCTTGTTTTCTCGTTATAACGACTTATTTTCTCGTTATATCGACATAACGAGAGTTGTTTTCTCGTTATAACGACTTATTTTCTCGTTATATTGACATAACGAGAGTTGTTTTCTCGTTATAACGACTTAATTTTCTCGTTATATCGACATAACGAGAGTTATTTTCTCGTTATAACGACTTAATTTTCTCGTTATATCGACATAACGAGAGTTGTTTTCTCGTTATAACGACTTAATTTTCTCGTTATATCGACATAACGAGAGTTGTTTTCTCGTTATAACGACTTAATTTTCTCGTTATATCGACATAACGAGAGTTGTTTTCTCGTTATAA